TTCCTTTTGCCGGTTCTTTGTGACAGCTTTTAGGTGTTTTATTGGCAGCGCCACCCTTACATGTGGTGTGTGTGTGTGTGTGTGTTGTCCCCGCATTTAAAGATGGGACCCCCCAAAAATTTAATTAAATTAAATAAAGCAACATGGTAAAAAGATGAAAATGACTTGATTTTACTTTCAATTCCTTTTACATTCTCCAAGGTATTAACATTAACATTTTTCATAACTCCATGTAGGCCGTTTCTGTGCATAAATGTAAGCACTGTGGCAGTAGATTACTAATGCAATTTTTAGAAAATCTACTCTTGTACTCTTGATACTCAAGTACTTTTAAAAACAAGTACTTTAGTACTTTTACTTAAGTAGACATCTGACTGTAGTACTTTTACTTGTACTTGAGTAAAATTTAGCAAGGGGTATCTGTACTTTTACTCAAGTAACAAAGCTCTGTACTCTGTCCGCCTCTTATAGTACAATAATGAAATACTGATAAACACTGTAAAAGAAATGTGCATCTATTTAAACCATGTGGTGAAAAGGACTTTTATAAGGTCATTACCTTAAATATAATGTGAGAAAGATGAAACTATTGTTTTGGGGGTGGTGGGGGAAGGCACAGATAAAAAAAAAAAAAAAAAAAAAAAAAAAAAAAAAAAAAAAAAAAAATTATTTAAGTACTTTTATTCCACACAACCCATTATGTGATCCAAAAAAACAAGCATTTAATTATACATTAATGCCACATAACCTATTATCTAATGAAAATCAAATATATATTTAAAAAAGGTAATATATTTTTGAGTATTTGCTTTTCATTGGATAATGGTTTATGTAAACAAATGTTCTAAAATATATTCATTGTTTAAATATACATAAAATCTTTTTGTTTATTTGTTTATTTATTTTAATTAATTTAATTTGATTCCACACAACCCATTATCTTAAGAAAAGCAAACATTTAAAAAATAATTTAATTGTTTAAATGTATATATTTTATTTTATTCCACATAACCCATTATCGGATCAAAAGCAAAAATACATTGTTTAAATGTAAATTGAAATGTATATTGAAAACAGAATGTACCATTTAATTTAGTTTCGCGTCTCATCTCAAATGAATAGTTTATTCAACACCAAACACACCTGCTGACCTTGTTTGCCCATCAATGTCACTCTTTGTGCGTCATCATAACACTGGGAATATTCGCACGCACATTGTGACGGGAATGTTTTGACTTGTTGCTACAAACAGAATCAAATATTTCAGGATTCATTTCTTTTATTCTTCTGTCACTGTCAATGATCGAGCCCCAGAAGCTTTTATTAACCATTATCTCTCTCTGTAAGGTGTCTGGAGTTCATTCTGGAGGAGATTAATCTCAACAGGATGGCCAATGTCATGGTGGCGTCTCACAATGAGGACACGGTCAAATTCACACTGGACAAGTGAGTCTAGAGCCGAGAAGAGATGCATAAAATACATTCAGCTCAGTATCTAATGCTATTGCTGGGCGTGTGTGTGTTTTTCTCTACAGAATGAACGAGATGAGTCTCTCTCCCACTGAGAATAAGGTTTACTTTGGACAGCTGCTGGGAATGTGCGACCAGATCAGCTTCCCGTTGGGTGAGTGGAAAAAGAGCAGTGTGGGAAGGAACAGATGTTGACATCAAGACTTTGCAAAAGCATAACAGGTCCCCTTTAATATTAGATTTACTTTTTGGGCTCTACTAGAATAGACCCCTTTTTCAGTTGGTAAACATGGTGACGTTTTTATGTGGGCGGAGCTTAGGTGGAGGCAGAACGATCCCTCTGGCCGCTTCACTAACGCTAGTTAGCAAGTTTTGTTAGCAATGACTGGAGAAAATCAGATTTTATCTTAATGTGTAAGGTCACTCACTGTCCAGGACCGCGATTGTTATTTTCAAAAGTTAATTTTAACGGACGGAACCAGATTGGCCGACCCGTAGCCTACACGCTCACACGCTCACATGGACGATCTGACAGGATTAACGTTACCTCGGTTGAGGGGCCTGACTTCTACACCCACCTTATAGAGAAACCGATCGTAAAGAAAAACATATATAAATCTTTAGATGTCTATAACTTTGTGCTGAATGGTCATGTACAAGACGTGAGTGGATGACGTGAATATTTTCTTGAAATAAAATTTCCAGATACAGCATATTAATTTTTCATCGATTCTTGCACCAAACAACACAACAAGATGACATTTAGTAATAATAACAACAATTTAAGCTCCTTATTATGTAGCCGAATCTATGCTGGTTTGTATTGGCCAAGCCTTGTTTTGCCTCCAGCTAGCGCCGTGACGTAACTGTGACGTCGGCGCAAAAGGGGTCTATAGGTTTTCACGCTTGAATGTTCAAAAAAACACATTTACACTGTTGCAGCTCCTCTCTTCCCAGTCTGTCAGTAACGCTCTGTTTAGTTCCTGTCTCTATGAAGCCCCTCCTTCTAAAAAGCGTACTGTGCTCTGATTGGTCAGCTGGATCTGTGTGTTGTGATTGGTCAACCGCATGTTTGTTGAATGCCACTCTCCTTACTAATAACCGTGAGCTTCTACACACTACTAACTAACTCAACCAGGCCCCGCCCCTTTATTCTGCGTATGCCATTGGGGAGGAATTATTTAAATGAGGAATATTGTGACGTGTTCGCTCCTGGGAGAAACTCAAGACTACAATGGAGGCGTTTCAGGGAGTTCAGAAACTGCGACACTGATATAGAGAATAACTCCCGCTGGAGGGACTTTGTGCTTTGCAACTTTGCAGACCTTTTTCATGCTCAAACCACAGCATTACACATGTTGAAAATGTAAAAAAAACATAATACTGTATGTCCCCTTTAATATTGATGCTGATAAATAGAATGAAATGTGCTGAGGAAGTTTACCGTTGTGTGTTTTTGCGAACAGGTCAGGCAGGATTCCCGGTATACAAGTATGTTCCCTACGGTCCCGTGAACGAGGTCATCCCGTACCTGTCACGCCGAGCGCAGGAGAACCGCGGCTTCATGAAGGGTTCGAAAAGAGAACGCAGTCTGCTGTGGAAAGAGATCCAGCGCAGACTCTTCAATGGACAACTGCTCTACAGACCTGCGTACTAAAACACACACACACACACAACTGAACATCAACTGTATTTAAAATATGGACCCCCTCGCCCTACGGGTGAGCACAACCATGTGAGCGTGGGGAACTCATCACAAAATGGACATTAATACAGTCAATAGGTGTCATAGTTTGTGTACATCAGTGGCTGTAAAATGAACTAGAGTTAAAGACAACATGAAATCGCTTTTGCAATACGTTTAACGTCTGTGATGTGACATGAAACAAAATTCAGAGGGAAATAAGGTCAGACAAGTTAATCTGACGAAAAGCAAACTTTTGAAATTATATTCTATCTTTTATTCCACATAAAACATCCGTTGTAAAGCAAAAATTTAAAATAAGTTAATTGTTTAAAAATATATTTTGAATTACATTTAAGAACACTTAAAATATTTATATTTATTTATTTATTTTTATTTAACCCATAAAACCCATTATCCAATGAAAAGCAAATATATAATATATTGTTTAAATATATATTATATTTTTTATTTTATTGTATTCCTCATAACCCATTATCTGATGAAAAGCAAATATTTAAAAATATATTTTATTGCAGTTTATTAAACAACGTGAAAGAAAGTTCAGTGGAAAATAATATAGGATATTGGGTGAGACAAGTAAGTTAAGTCAAGACATGTTTAGTTACATGAACAGAGCAGATGGTTTAAGTCATGTCAGATGTGGAGAAAGTTTGGGACAGTTACTTAGACTGTAAATTGAGTCCGTTAAATGTTGTCTTTAAATCAGCTCTTAATCATTCCACTGTCTTTACATCTCTGTGCCGTTAGAGTCAGCTGTTCATCACTGGTTATGTTTGGATTAGCTTACGACCATACTGTGCCGTACTGCCGTTTACACGACACTGCTTTAAACTAAAAACGGAAAACTTTTTATTTTGGTTTTGGCCATTATCGCCTGAATATAAACTACAAAAACTCAAGTGTTGTCTATAGGTGTTTTATAATCTGTAGTCTATAGGCATGTAATGTTGTTTTACAAAGTGACATCGCCAACTACTGGCCTGGCCGCATAATAACTTTACAAAAAACGCAAAAGAAAAACTTTTCAGTTTTTAGTACATAGTTCTCTTGTAAAATTACCCTATGTTTGAGTTCTGCTCAGATACTGTATCAGACACATTGCTAGTGTGACAACTGAACCAATATCAGCTGCCATTTTTAATCCCACACCTTTTTAAAAATGCTAATATCTGTATTTCAGAGATAACATGCAACATATATATATATATATATATATATATATAGATGGTATGTACTTCAAACCACATTTATTTATATAGCACTTTTTACAATACAGATTGTTTCAAAGCAGCTTTACAGAGATGACAGGAAAATAATGCAAAAAAGTTTGTTACAGAAGAAAATAGCGTCACAGTCCAGTTTAAGTAAGTTCAGTGATGTTTCATTTTTGTTTTAAATTTTTTTTAGTTAATTTATATATATATAGGCGCTCTGGAGTAAACAGTGATGTCATCGTCCAGCTCAGTTCTTGTATAATAGGGACAATGCACGCAGATCAATATTATTGTTGAATATTAAATTAAATGTTAAATTTAATTTCCCCTAAGCCAATGGCAACAAAGGTGGAAAAAGTTGACACACCGGTATGGAGACAGGTTTGTTGAGGATCAGTGCCGATGATGCCTTCACAGGGGAGAGTCTAGTTGACACTATCTCTGCTGACACTTCAGTGATGTGTTGTGGTCGTGTCCAGGCGCAGGTCCACCGTCTGGTCCGGATACGGCCCGGATCCGGCCCATTACAGTAAACCTCAGAATAAGCAGAAAGACTAATATTAGCGTAGATGCCATTCTTCTTATGATGAAACGGGTACATCGGGTGTTGTAGGAAGTGTTCCCGGTTCCGGATGACCTAATCTATGCAGCATAATAATCATTTAACTGATTTGAATAATAGGAATGTATAATGCTCTATCTGTATGGCAGGTTAAAGAGATGTGTTTTTAGTCTAGCTTTGAACTGACAGAGTGTGTCTGCTTCCCGGACAATGCTAGGGAAACTGATCCAGAGTTTAGATGCTAAATAGGAAGATCTTCCGCCAGCAGTTGATTTTGATATTCTTGGTATTATCAACTGGCCAGAGTTTTGAGATCACAATAGGCGTGAAGGACTATAATGCGTGAAGTGAAAAAAAAATGTACCCGTTGACTTTGTGAGGTACATGGACGGTTTTCAGTTATTTTTTTGTAATATATTTGATAGACATTTAATCATAATGATATGGTATACTATTAACCAGTTAAATGCATTTTAGCACTGGGTATTCTGTTCAGTGTATGACTGATGTTTTGCTTGTTTTTCTTTTGCTCATTTTAAAAACTACTTCAATGTAAGTTTGGGTTTGAATTTAAATGAGTTTTTGGATGAAGTGTGCATTTGAATCTTTCAGTTGTTTGAAATATTTACTGCTCTTTTATCATGTAAATAATGAAATGCGGCTGATTTTAGGCTGATATTAGACACTTTTGCACTGTTAGATGAATCTGGATGACTGTATATGAACATGTCTTAAATAAAAATGAAATTTTATATCAAATATTGAACTACTAATTGAGTTTCTTTTTTGATGTGTAGTTATGTAATCTATATATATATATAATGTGTGCATAACCAGGTCTTATGGAGACTTTATTACATGCATGGAGGGAACGAGGCTTTTCTTTTAAACTCTAGCAGACTAGCAGTCATTTAATAATATTCTTGTAGCAAGTGATTCTTACGTGTTAGTAATGGTAAGTGCTAGGTTTTTTTTGCACAATCATAATCTTTTTAGTGCATTTCTTTCATTTCAGGACAAGTTTGAATACGTAATAGGGGAATCAAAAACCCCCTCTTGTAAAAGATATCAGGAAGTGGCTTTATTTCTCTGCTCCTGCCATGGTTCCTCTATCTATGGAGTATCTGAGCAAAAACAGAAATGAAACGGGAAGGGGTTGAGGCTTTTATGTCTGAATAGACAGTCAGGTTTGATTAATGGAGTTCTTAAAGTGAAAATGTGAGTCGTTATCTGTGGAGGAGCTTTCTTGTCCTGTGTGTATGGAGATCTTCAAGTCTCCTGTTGTCCTGTCATGCAGTCATAGTTTCTGTAAAGAGTGTCTTCAACAGTTCTGGAGATCAAAGAAAACTCGCCCGTGTCCGGTCTGCAGGAGGAGATCCTCGAAAGCTGAACCTCCTAGTAATCTTGTGTTAAAAAACGTTTTGTGATGTGCATGGTGAGAAACTCAAACTCTTCTGTCTGGAGGACAATCAGTCAGTGTGTTTAGTGTGCAGAGATTCAGAGAAACATGCTCATCAACCAACTTTACTTCTCTTATAATAGCTTTGGATTGGCCATGACGTGGTGCACGTACACTTATCTAAAGTAACATTAAATTAAAACAGAGGTAAGACACACCCAGATTTAGGTTGGTCAACCAGCATTTTTGCTGCCCTAAATGGAAATTCACTTCTTGTGTTTGTGTTGGAGCCATTCTGTGTATTGGGATGGGTTGGCACTGTGTTCTGGCACAAGTCAACTTAAGACCAGGGTTCATTAACGCAGGTGTGGCGCACAGCGAGGTGCATGGTTTTTGACCGTGAGGCACGGCGTGTAATCATGGAGACTGACTTGAGTTAAGTTTAAGAAATGTTTTATTTGTCGTTATGTTAATAAATGGATTGGAATATCCGACTTAAGTTCAGACTTTTGAAAGTTTATTATTTGACCTTATTTAGTTATTTAAGCCACAAGGAAACAGCACGCCCGAAACACGCGTACAAAACAACTTAAATGTGCGCCTTTGCAAACCAAGTACACTTGAATTAGTGCCAAATATTAGTCATCACTAATGTGACGCAGTCTTGCGGTAACATACGAATCCATTTATTCTACTTGGGAAAACAATTTCAGAGTCAGTCAGAATAAAATCAAATGTAACAATTTATTATGTCAGGTAAATGTATCATGCCAATTTCATAATCAGTTGAACGATAACAAATACAAAACATCAAATGCTCTGGAATAAAGAGAAAAGATGCGAACCTGACATTAGTCAAGTCAAGTCATCCTCATTTACAGGTCCTTCTCAAAAAAATAGCATATTGTGATAAAGTTAATTATTTTCCATAATGTAATGATAAAAATTTAACTTTCATATATTTTAGATTCATTGCACACCAACTGAAATATTTCAGGTCTTTTATTGTTTTAATACTGATGATTTTGGCATACAGCTCATGAAAACCCCAAATTCCTGTCTCAAAAAATTAGCATATCATGAATAGGGTCTCTAAACGAGCTATTAACCTAATCATCTGAATCAACTAATTAACTCTAAACACCTGCAAAAGATTCCTGAGGCTTTTAAAAACTCCCAGCCTGTTTCATTACTCAAAACCGCAATCATGGGTAAGACTGCCGACCTGACTGCTGTCCAGAAGGCCATCATTGACACCCTCAAGCAAGAGGGTAAGACAGAAAGAAATTTCTGAACAAATAGGCTGTTCCCAGAGTGCTGTATCAAGGCACCTCAGTGGGAAGTCTGTGGGAAGGAAAAAATGTGGCAAAAAACGCTGCACAACGAGTAGTGATGGCCAAATGAAGCGTTTCGAAGCATTATTGCTTTCCGATACAATTGTGTCGAAAATGGTTCATTACTCGAAGCTTCATTCAGATAGAAATTGCAGCACCATCTCCTGGTGAAGTAAATGTAATGCAACAAAGCTGACAACCATAAAATGCCAGTAGGCTTATGTTAACGGCCCGTTTATGACGTGTTTACCGAGGCGATCAAAGCTGAAACAGTGTAGTGCTGTGAAACTCATTTATGTAGGTGAAGTTTCCAGACACTGATGAATTTCATGTGTTCACCTTGATAATAAAACATTAAGCATGATGTGTGTGTGTGTGTGTGTGTAATTATTTCTTTGCCACTCTCCTCAACAATAAACTCAATCCACTCTCCTCAACAATAAACTCAATCCACTCTCCTCAACAATAACACCAATCCAAACACCGACTACTACAACCCACGGTGTTGCCATGGTTTGGCTTCACTTTTATAAGAAATACAGCCGCCAGGTTTCAAACCTGTCAACACTGGATTGGGCTGTCAAAGCAGTCAGGTGGTTCACTACAGGAGTGAAGCAGTGGGTTTGCTTCAGACGTCATTTTCACATGACTAATGACGTAATGATACAAGCTCC